AAGTCCACTCATCTTAAAGTGGCCAAGTTTGGACAACACTGCAGTAATCTATTAATCTATTTATATATTAATATATTTATACAGAATCAGAGATTTGGCCTCCAAGAAAATTAGACATTCAGCTTTACAAGGGATATTTCATTTTACTGCTGCTTTAACAAATAATGGTAAGAAATGTGTGAAACTAAAAAGCAGTGTTTTTTTCCCTAGTTATCCCTTTGATATTTGCTACTTTAAGGTCACTATATAAAACAGTAGTTTGATTTTCCATCTAAAACATAATCATTTTTGTATACTGTTCTAATTAAGACATTTAAAATCTGCATTTCTCTGGTTCAAAATTATGTTCAAGGTTTAAATGAAAATGCTTAAAATAATGATTAAATCCTAAAAACTAAGTATATATTTTTTCAGAGATTAAAAGAATCTCATGTTATTGTTGCCGCTGTTGTTGAAAATTGTTCTAAAACCAGTTACTTAGAAAGCCCCCTGACATCTTAATGTCAAAGGGATGAAGGAGAAATGAAAGGGCAACAAAGCAATGAATAATTTTTTTATGTTCCCCTTTGGCAGTTTACAATAAATCTTTACTACAGTCAGCTTAAAAAATCACAGTGAATGGGCCTCAGATGTTCATATTAATGAATACCTTCAATGTGTTCCACATCTTATATTAATCTAAGCTTGAAGGATAAACCTGTTTAGCTATGGATGAGCTATGGACTAGTCACTGAAACATTAGTAAAAGCAGCAGAAGGTTCTTAGCATATTGATATATGTTTAAAACCTGTCACAATGACATGAAATCAAGGTTAGCTGAATGCAAGAGATAGAACACAATGTGCTAAACTGTGCAGTTTTAATGAGATATCTGCATGACAGGTAAAAGGTGAGTTTGCTTCTGAAATATAGAAAAGAGGGTTAAAAGCCTTGCCCTGAATGTTCCCATGCTAAGTAGATCAGAATAAAGGCATGACCCCCACCTTGGCTTCCATAGCTGTTATCCATTCCAGAGCCATCCCATGATTCCACAGCACTGTCCACACTTGGGACAGTGGTGGAATAGATGTCAGACAGTTTGCCTGGTTTCTGTGTGGTGGCTGTATCGTCTTCAGCATCGCTTAATTCATTTATATGACCAGAGGCAGAAAATTTCTTGGGACTTGATGCTGATAGAAAGGAAGAAGTGTTATACATTTATTATAAAATTCTATATATACATTCAACCTGATGTGCACGGAAGGCCATTTTGCCAACAGAAAGCTGAGACAAACAGACTGTATACCACATTCATTTTATCTACAGGGCAGTGGAAAGGACCTCCCCCCTTACTACTACTATTGCAATAGGCTTGATGGAGTCTCAGTATCTAGTAGGGCTGGGTAACACATTCAAACAAGGTACTTCACACTGCATGGGAGCATAAGCAAAACAAAGCTCTTGGAGCCATTAAAGCCGCTGGGTCTTTAGCAAGGCTTGGGCAGTGGCTTCAAAAGTTGCTGTCAGCAGTCTCCACATACGTATGCGTGCACAGCCACTTTGCTTTGCTGGGAACAGCCATGTGGAATCAGCCAGAAGTAGCTTCTGGCATAGCTATGCAAGTTTTGTAAAGCACGTTGCTGCTTTAGTGTTTCAAGCACTTTCTTTGGCCCCTGGGCACAGCAAGGCACCTTTTTCAAATGCTTTGAACAGTCCCATTTTCTTTGTATTTGTACATGCATAATAGATGAGGAACCTGTTTCCATATGGTGGCTGATCCTGCAGCTTAGTCTAGTCAATTCCATTAGAAAAGCAAGTCATTTTTTTTAAAAAGGGATGGAGAAACATTCCTCAAGAGATACCAAATATATTATTTCATTTTTGAAAGTGCTACTGAAGTATTTATAGGGATGCACACTCATCCTTTCCACACACTAATTTCTGAAAACCTTGGGGGAGAAAGAGTAGAAATAACATTTAATATATGTCTGCAGCAGCCACATTGAAACACACACTGTTATTATCCTAGCCATTTTCATCAATCTGAATAACAAATGTTATTAGAGCTCACAATAAATCATAATAACTAATATCTGTAATTAATATCTGTGTATCAAAAGCAACAATTCACAGAGTCAAAAGTTAGTATAGCATAGTGAATACATCTAGTTGCTGCCTAGCACTGTTAGATAACTTGATGTTTGGATAATAAGGGTTCTAGAATAACAACACTACAAAATACACATTTTAAAAAAATCAGTGGGAACACTGGGTAATTGAACTAAAAGTGACCCTACACATGAGATTTATAAACTGATTTCCATCAGGCAGGATAACCTGCACCCACATCATCTCTGGTAGATGTCTGTCTGTTATTCATCGGAAGTCACTCAGAAGGGCACCAATTGCATTCGTACAATTAAGGCAGAGGTGGCAGCTGCTTTGAAATTCTCAGGTTCCTGGCCATGCCTTCTGTCATTTTTTTAAAAAGGTGTTTGTGGCCTGATGTAGGGCCAGCATGTGGAAACAGAAAAGCCTTGGCATTTGTCTGGAGTGGCACAATGGGTTGGGTTGGAATAACAGGTAGAAGCAGGTTGTGGGTGAACAAGGCAGCCAGAGTCAGGGCCTACTAACTAGATCAACCCCTAGATGGTAGAAGAGAGATACAAAAGTCCCAAGGTCTTTGCTGTCATCTATGGCTGTCTGCATTTTTGCAGCTCAGATCTAATACCTCTAGTACTGAGGCAACCCCCATGAAAGCACTCAATGCTGCCATTGCTTCTGTTCCTCTCCAAGAACAGCTTGTATTGGCAAGCTCTGAGCACCAAAACTGATCTTCTCCATCAAATGCAAGCATTCATTTTTTCAAAACTGATGTTGGGAAGGTAGTCTCCATCTGAGAGGTCCTCCTTGAGCCCCAGAGATTTCTAAGCTACTGCTAGTTTAACTATACCTATTCTTGTTAGCAGATGCTTCTGCTGTGAAAGGAGAATGAGAAATGCATGGCACAAGCAGAGTAATACAGAGTGATGGGTGAAATCAGAGCAAGCAACATGCTCAGAATATCAGTTGAGAGAGTTTGGAGAGTTAGTAAGCCAAAGTATTAGATAAAAATGGGGACTAAGATAGCAACTAGCAAGTCCAAGATTTTAGATCAGTTTATCAGAAACATTTTTCCCATTCTTTACTGAATGATATCCTGTTCCTAGTTCTTACATCCTCTAAATAAATAGTTGAAATATATTATGTATTCTGGTCTACAATGACTTAATGGGGGGAACCAATCCCTCGTGCTTCCCTCTATTATTTACTGCTCTATAATTTAGTAAGTGCTGGAAAAGGCTTATCTTGATTAACTTTATTGTGAATTTTGGGCCCAGCAGACAGATTGAGCTTCTGGACAACTAGTTACTCCAACTATCTGTGTGCTGTCTAGGAGACAGGGCCTTCTGCAGTTCCCCAAAAGTACTCCACTTTCCTTCTTTTCAACAGTTAGTCTTAAAAAAATAACTTATTCCTGCACTTTTTTCTTCTCTCTAGGTCCCTGACCTTTCGTCATCATTGTACCCTCTTCTTTTCTCCCATTTCTTCATGAAACTAGTTGTGTTGAAAACTAGCTGTATTGAAAACTAGAGTGTTGAAAACTAACCAGGTATCCAGATGAGTAGAGCAACTGCTTTCCAGTGTTGACTATCACACAATAATTATAAACAATAAATGGGATTACCTTCTGAGTAACTTAGTCTCATTGCCCTTGCTGTCTTTTGCAATAAATTCATTTTTTAAAAAAGCTGCTTTTTATATACGTGGATTTATTTCTACAGTCCTAAATATCTAATAGATGCTATAGGCCAAATGTCACTTTCATGAATATATGCACAAAACATTCTTGATAGGGCAGAAAAGGCATCGGTGGAATACCTGATGCACTTACCATCTGTCTGTTTTTTTATTTTCAAGGTCACTGTCTCTCCTGCCATCTGTAACAAATGAATGGCTTCACTCAAAGGTTTCCCTTTCAGACTGTTACTATTTATTGCTAAGATTCGGTCTCCGATATGAATTGCACCTGTCCTGAAACATGAGTTAAATAAAACATGAAAAATTCAATAAAAAGAGAATCTGAGCAAAGCATTTAATATATAATTTAAGAAAAAAAGTTTGCTTTTCCTCCTGCTTTTATTTTTATTTTAAAATGTAATTTACGTAAATATATTTTTAATGAAACATTAATGTTACTTTTAAAATGTCTGTAAGCTGGTAGCCAAATAGTTTGCACCAGCAAAGAGCTCTGTTTTTTCAAAGTGATATGTAAACTAAAATTGCACGTTTATTGAGTTTATTGTTCTATACTTCTAAACAGTTAAGAAAGTAACTTGATGGATTTTTTTCCAGTCAAAAGGAAACAGCAAGAATAACATTAAGAGCTACTTTATTTTGTTCTTCCATCTAAACAAAAAATATTAACAAGCATCAGTACATAACATTAAAGGATACAACATTTTTATTTCAAGATATGTTATAACCCATACTGTTGATATGGACAGACAACACCTGAAATATTATAACTCTTATACATTAATTATTCATCTTTTGGGTGATATAACATGAAGTACACTCCCCAGTGTGAAAATGTTATCCTTTCCATTTTGCAGGTGCAGGTGTAGATAGTGTACAGTGGGGCAAAAAAAAATTTAGTCAGCCACCAATTGTGCAAGTTCTCCCACTTAAAAAGATGAGAGAGGCCTGTAATTTTCATCATAGGTATACCTCAACTATGAGAGACAAAATGGGGAAAAAAATCCAGAAAATCACATTGTCTGATTTTTAAAGAATTTATGAACGTTTTGGTCTAAACTCAACTTGTCGTGTTTGAAGGGAATGGGCCAAAATACCAGCAACAGTGTGTGAAAACCTTGTGAAGACTTACAGAAAACGTTTGACCTCTGTCATTGCCAACAAAGGATATATAACAAAGTATTGAGATGAACTTTTGATATTGACCAAATACTTATTTTCCACCATGATTTGCAAATAAATTCTTTAAAAATCAGACAATTCCATGGGGTTGAGATCTGGAGACTGGCTAGGCCACTCCAGGACCTTGAAATGCTTCTTACGAAGCCACTCCTTCGTTGCCTGGGCAGTATGTTTGGGATCATTGTCATGCTGAAAGACCCAGTCACTTTTCATCTTCAATGCCCTTGCTGATGGAAGGAGGTGTTCACTCAAAATCTCACGATA